CACCCTTACAATGTCTCTGCCCAACAAAAGAAGGATTTGGGCATTTGAATCAAGATTGGGGATATGAGTTGCTATGGTTTTCAGATGAGGATGTAAGAGCGCTATTTTAGGTGTTGGAATTTCTGACCTGTTGGCGGGAATTTGGTCACACTCAATCAGTGGTGGTAATGCGAGAGTAAGTTCTCCATTCACAGGTTCAATTTGGAAGCCTTCTGCTTTTCTCCCGAACACTTCGTTAACTCCAGCACATGTTCTTAGTAAATAAGGAGTGGAACAACCTTGGAGATCAAACAGCTCAAAGAATTCTGGCCTAGCCAACGAGCGATTACTTTGGTCATCGAGAACTACATATACCTTGACTGCTTTATCACGTTGCCCCTGAGGAAACACTCGAGCCAAACATATTTTGGCACAGGATACTGCTGGCTGCCCTTCACCACAAATCTCTGTGCAGTGTGTGGTGATGGCTACTTCAGGTGAAAGCTCCTCTTCCATTTCACTGCGTTCTGGTACTGGGACTGGAGTTTTAGGAGCTTGCGGTGCTGGACCAGGATGCAAGGCTGAAACATGACGATTGCTTCCACATTCAGTGCATTTCACAGAGACTTGACAATCTTTGGCTACATGGGAAGTCGATGCACAGCACTTATAGCATATACCATTTTCACGAAGGAATGCTTTTCTCATATCAAGTTGTTTTGCCCTAAACTCACGGCACTTCCTTAATGGGTGTGGTTTGCGATGGATTGGACAACTTTTGCCTGGACTATCGCCTTGTTTTGGAACATGGTTAATTTCACGTTCGGTTCCTGAGGCAACATCTGTCTTGTGAACTGCTATTGGGATCCTTCCAGTTCTGTAGGCTGATTTGTCCCTTATGGGAGGATAGCTATTGCTGGGAAGAGTGAAACTTGGATCGTTTCTGATGTGAGCTTCATAGCAGATAAACTTAGCAAAGAAGGAGAATGGAGGGAAAAGACCGTTGTGCTCGTCTTTGAACCTGGAACCTTGGGATACCCATTTTTCCTGTAGGGCATGTGGGAGTTTTTCTACTATGGGACCAATGCCTCGAGCTGTGTCCAGGAAAGCTAACCCTGGTAAGTATCCATCTTCTTTTGCAGATTGTAACTCCATGAGAAGGTCTCCTAATTCTCTGAGTTTGATGTAATCCTTACCAGGAATCTTCGGAAATGCATCTAGTTTCTTGAAAAGAGCACTTTCGATTACTTCAGGCGAAGCATAACACTTACTTAATCTGTCCCATGCTTTTTCCAGTGCCTTATCTGGATTGTTGACATATGCTTGACGAATTCTCCTGACGTGCTGAGATGATTCTTTACCTAGCCATTTGATCAGGAGATCCAGTTCTTCACTGGGTGAGAGACCAAGTCCTCTTACAGCGTTAACAAAAGAAGACTGCCATGCTCTAAAACTCTCAGGTTGGTCGTCAAACTGATTAAGTCCTGTGGTGACTAACTCTCTGCGAGCTAAATACTTGACAAAGTCTGCCATTTCAGGCGTCTTGATGGGATCAGCGGTTGCGGTGCGATACTGAGGCATGTATGGTTGAGCGGAAGGGTTCATGCTCTGAATGTCTGGCTTATTGTCACCATGATAGGTTCTGTTGACGTGAGAAGGCTCTCTAGGGGCTGCTGTGTTGAAAGAAGAGATATGCCGTTTTAGCCGTTCTGATAATGGAAAGGACGGGTCAGTTCGGTGAATTCCATATTCACTTCCCCATGTAACTAAGCTGTCATCATGCTGAATGAGCGAAGATGCAGGGATTTCATGACACGACGCTATATGTAGCTCATTCTGTTGCTGTACATATGCACTTGTGCGATCAAGCTCTCTTTTTACTGAAGCTTTACTGCTCTTGCTTCGAGGTTCTTTAACCTGCTCTTCAGCTGCTTCCAACACTTCTGCTTGCACTACGGCTGCGGCTGCCTCTCTCTGGAGAGCTAAAGCTTCTAATTCAGCATCCAGTCTTGCTTTCTCCAACTTCAATTTAATCTCTTTGTCTGCGAATGCTGCACGTGCGCATGCTGCTTCTGCTTTAGCACGTGCTCTAGCTGCTGCACTGACTGCTGATGCTGAAGTACTCCGGCTACTAGCACTGACTTGAGATGCGTTATCATTGTCTTTGGCTCGATCCATACCACTGTTATACAGTTTGCATGCAGTGTAGAACTGTTGTAGAGGTTGATAGCCGGCTTGTCAAATGCCTTTTACTGTACTGTCCTCCTAATGGTTTGGCTTAACCAAAATTAGACAGCCAGCCAAACTCCCAGAATAACAACACGAGAGTCAGGATTTAGCATTCTAGCTCCAATTTTAGTGTAGACTCTTGAAGAGCATGTTGGTACAACAAAGGAGTAAACTGAAAATGATAAAACATATTTTGAATTACTAACATACAAATGATGGAGGTTTGAACATGTTAGCTAAGCATGACTATATAAAAGATAGAGTGCTAACGCATGTACATTATGCTAGCCTAACAGCCTAACCTACAGCCAGCTTCATTAAGCTAATACAAGCAAAGACAGTCTCATCAATCATAAATACTCTTGGATATTGCAAGATAAACTTGTAAACAGTAAGAAATGACTTACAGGCAATGCTCACAATGGGCTAAATCCCTTGATTACGACAGATTGTACAACAGGCATGTAAAGCTGCTGAGATCCACAACAAGAACTAACATGGGTCTCTGGTTTCCTGTTTCCTGTCTGCCAGGGTGCAACACCTGCCTCTACCAAAGGGTGGTGCTACTGTACCTTGAAACACTCGAAAGCCTAGAGGCAGAACACCAGGCTTAATGCATACTAAGGCTTATTATTCATTAACTACAGGGACTTCACTGCAAAGTAATGGAGCTTTTCTCAGGTTATAGAAGTGTGTAATAAAACTGCTGGTGGGCCCATAGCTTGCTAAGGGGTTAACTTACCAGCTGTGTATCCTTATCAATCAGTAACACAAAGCATATGGTAGTCACCTGCCTCCAGCCTCCAACACTATGGCAATTTCTCTCTAAACTGTTTCCTTTCTGTTAACTGCTTATACTGTTTACTGGAAGGGTCACAGAGATTTCTCCTTTTCTCCACTTCATGAATGAGTTTCCCCTCATCCATTTTGAAGTAGAATGGCAGAGCAGTGTGAGGCATCAAAAATAGAAGGACCAAAAAAAAACACTATGTTGCATTGCACCATATCGGGCTCTGCAGCTGGCAAAAATGAGAGTCTATATAAATTCAAAGCAGTTCTTTTTTGTGTCAGGGGTTGGGGGGGGTTCTGTTCATAATTTTTATTAAAAACATACCACAGTTTGTCATGTAAGGACATATTTTTCTGTTTTAAATTACTGATATTTGCCTTCCACTATATATATATATATATATATATATATATATATATATATATTAGTTTGAAAAGGTTGTCTGGTTCAAACACTATAGAACTGTATTGAATTAACTGCATCAGTATTGATTTATCAGACTTTTCTCACAACTGTCACAACTAGCCCCTCAGCCTGTTACAATGACCCTTCCTGTGGGTTAACCTGCACTACTGAATTGTTCACTCTAGGTGCTTGTAACAAAGTTTACGTTTTCATCTGTAGCAGAGATGTGCTTGTCTTAAAAGTATTAATCTCATTTGCTCAAATATTATTCACATTATTCAGCAAAAACCAATAAGAGTCATGAGGCCTTCTCCCCTACTTTTATTCATTTTCTGAATAAGCTTAATGCAGGTCCCTCAATCCCTCTGCTTTCCAGCCTCCCCTGTGTACGTCTGTTCTCCACTTTCTTCTTTTCTGTGCCTGCTGACACTTCCCGCCCACAGCGTCTCTAACTCGGTCTCTCTAATCATTCAACTCTGCCAGCTTTCTCTGCCCTTCTCTGTCTCCACCTTACACCTTCTGTCCAGCTATCTCTCTGTTTCTCTGTCTAGCTCTATCTCTATCTCTCCTGCTTGTCCCTCAAAGCAGTGTAACTCTGTTCCTGTCACTTCGGTTTTTCTTTCTCTTGTGAGTGAGTCGTCCGTCACGATTTTGTACTCACAAGTGTTTTATTTCTTTTTGTTTTCTCACCCATCGTCCCACATCCATGGAGGAGGCTCACGGCCGATCTTGCCTTTTTCCTTCTGCCTGTCACTCATCCAACACAGCCTTTATCCACTCCTAACCCCATAGCCTCTCCTTCATGTTCTCCTCCTTCCTGATATCCCTCTGCCTCTGTTTGTCTGAGAGAACAACCCTCCTTTTTTTCCCTCTCTTTTTCCCCATTTTGCCCTCTGATCTCGTCGTGGTCTTTGATGCTGTTTTTCATTCTGTCCCTCTGCTCTGAAATTTCAGGAGCTTTGAGGAGGGTCACGAGGTGTTGGTCTTATCAGCGGCTTTTATCATTTCATTAGAGTTAAAGAGGAGGCGAAAGAAAGGAAATAATGTTATATTACATCTCTCCATCTCTCTCTCTCCTGCATATTGCCATTCTCTGTTCTTCATCAGGTGTGCCTCAAGGGCCAAGTCTGGGTCCTGCCCTTTATTTTCATTTTCTCTTTCAATCAGCCTAGCCATCTTGCCAGTGCCATGTCTTAGCATCTCTTCACCGTGATATTTCCAAAAAGAGACACGGCTAACACGCAGGGCACTTTGAGGGATGAGGATGATGATGGGAAATGCATTTTGTTCTACTTCTCGCCTGTTTCATCAAACACATTGCTCTTACTGAAATGCTAATTCATTTAGATCCCAGTGACAACACAGATAAGTGATGATAAATGCATTAAACAGCAGGCAATTATCAGTTTGAAGTATTTAGGCCCCATATGTACAGCTCAGAAATGTCAGTGCTGTCTTAATTGTTGCCAGGTCTGGGAACAGATGGATTTAATGACACAGTCAGTGAGGTAGAAAGAGAGAGAGAGAGAGAGAGAGAGAGAGTGACAGACACAGAGAAAGAGAGAGAGGGAGAGAGAGAGACAGAAAGAGAGAGTACCTCTCTAAGGTAACAGGAGATTCCTCGCAGTGCTGCTCCCATGGCTGTTGGGGAGGGAAGCTGAGAGTCAGAGAGAGAGAGAGAGAGAGAGAGAGAGATAAAGTTAGTGAAGCTCCTTGAAATGTTTATCTCACTGCTTACAGGAGTAGCCTCAAAGTGACTGTTCAAGCATGTGTTTGTGTGTATACGTGTGTGTGGGTGTTTACTGCCATTTTTAAGAACAACAATGTCCTGACTTTGTAGGAAATAAGAAAAAAAATAAGTAGCCTAGCAACATAAAGTGCTTTTCTTTCTTTTTTTTGTTTCTTACAAAAGCTCCATGTTTCATTGTTTAAACCTCAAAAGGCAAAAACATTTTTTTCTGGTTACCGAGGTTAAGATTACAATTATTATTACACACACACACACACACACACACACACACATATATACACACACAATCCTTCTTTTCATAAATAAAGTCGTATAGAAGCATCAAGAACCAAATACAGTATCAAGTCTTCAGCATTTAGTGTGTCCACGCTTTGCCTTTATTAGAGCTTCCATTCTTTTCTGGAAACTTTCCGTTTTTTAAAGAAATCTGCAGAGATAATTCTCCACTCCTTCAAAGTCCAGCCTGCATTTTCTGCTTAGTCTAGAAATCCGATTAAGAAATCTGATAAAGAGAGCTGGATTTTAGCTCAGTAATCAGAGTGCATGTAAACTCTTACTCTGATTTCTTTCAGAGTTCTGAGTCTGTGCCTGTGCAAAAACAAACTGCGGTGCCAGAAATAAGCAAGCAGCGTTGACGTGAGATGGCAGCAAAACACTTTTAGAGCGATGCTGAAACCAACTACATGCTTGACAAAATGAAGGATTTAATTTTTCTTCATCTCCTAGATGATTTATGTTCATATTTTCCCTAAAATGGTTCGATGTTTTAAAAACATGCAGCATTAATTTTGAGTTTTACGTTACGTTTCAACGCGTCTTCTACTTTGAGTTTATTGGCTGGTTTAAAGCAGAAATCCGATTAATGCCTGATTCATGTAGACTCACAGTTTTCACATTATGATTACTTTGAATATCCACAGAAAATTATCCTGTAAAATGAATAAGTTGTACTTAATGGCTATTTTGGCTGCAAATTAAATAAATTAAGGGTGGCCTATGACTTCTGAACTGTACTGTATTTAATACATATTGGTCATATTTGTATTACATATAGGTGCACTGTCACTGTCAAAAATGGTAACTTTATGGGAGAAAGAAAAAAGACTTAAATGTATAATAATGCATAAAATGGCAAAACTTTACAGTGGAAGGCAAAACATTCTTAAAACATTCTCAAAACATTCATACCTCTTTACCTTTATTGTAAATGAATTCATAAAAAGTGATTTTTTTAAAAGTACTTTTAGAACATTTAAACTAATTTGTCCATCTGTCATCACATTTTGTGTGTGGCTGCTGCGCTCTGATGATATAGAAAAATAAAATAAAAAAAATGTAGATACTTGTGTTTTTTTTTTACAGCAATGATGTATATAATACATATGGGACATTTTATTATTACATATACGTACATACATAGAGTGCATATTGTATGTATTACCCAACACCCTGACAAGAAAATATAATAAACACTTCTGTAAATGTGGCAGTTTAGCCAGTTTGGCTCATTTTCAGCTGTACTCCAAGGACAGGTACAAAAACACTCATAAAAATAACATAAAACATGAAACAAATAGCAATACATGACGACATAGAATAAAGCATGATGCCAGCTGTTAAAATGATTTACATACTATGATGACATTCTTTGCTGATTTTAGCCATTATTTAAAATTAGCTAAAAAAAAGCTGAATGTGCATTGTTTTATACTTATAGGCAGCAATACAAGAGTGAGCTCACTCTGTGTGTGTGTGTGTGTATATGTGTGTGTCTGTGTGTCTCACAGGCGGTGGATGCTCCAAACAGGTGTAGAAGCGTTTCGTCTGGTCTGGTTTCACACGCCTCAAAGCCACCCTCGACTCACCAATAAACTCATTATGAGTCAGCTTGTCCTCATCACATACCGATAACCTGAGAAAGAGAGAGAGAGAGAAGGTGAGAGACACAGAGAGAGATGCAGAAAGAGAGAGTGAGCAAGAGTGAGCGAGAGTACAAAGAAGAATAAAGGAAAAGGACGGAGGTAAATATGTACGTTTTGATTTAAAAGTCATCAAAAGGTAGGAGAAGTGTGTGAGATTATGAGAGCGAAGGAGCCAGAAATATGGTCTTCTCCACCAACCTGATGGAATTGGTTCTGACAGAAATGTATATTTATGAATAGGATTAGAATGATGTTTGCAGTGCTGACAGCTCCGGACTCGTGTTCAAAGGGCCACACAGGTCTGCGCTCACGCTCATGCTCTGAGATAAATGGCTAAATGACTTTCCTTCTCTCCTGTCTTTACCCTCCCCTCAAGAAGAAAACAAAGAGGGGAGGGGGGGCACATGGTCCTAGGCCTCTGTTGCCAGGGGATACGGTTCATTTACGATTTGGGCACACAGGTAATTTTCCATGGATAATCGTGGGATAAACTTGAGTGTGGCGGCTGTCCGTTCTTGCAGCTCATGGGGGAGGCGTTCTAGAGTAAGGCTGTTGAGAGCGGAGGAAATAGTGAGGCTAAATGCACGGTGAATTATTAAGACGCTGACACAAGTACACAACTTCAGAAAGGCAATCGCTCCTGAGGTTTAAGTGACAGACACATACACATAGCCTACACATACACAACTCATACAGAAAGCTCAGAAGTACACAGCTCTCTCTCTCTCTCACACACACACACACACACACAGAAAGGCAGAAATATTACCACAAACCTGTACCCAGTGAGTGTTGTGTGGGCTGTCAGCTTGCAGATATTCATAGCAAGAAAGACAGTTCCTGAGACATTTTTAGCATAGGCTTTTGAAGACTTATGAATGCACCCCCCACACACATGCACACACTACCTCAGGGTCTTCCTGTGCATGTCTTCTTCCGTGATTCCGATGTATGTTAGTGTCTCATTCCAAACCGGATTCAGAGAATTCCGCACCGTTTTGGTTTTCAGCTTGTTAGCCTGATGAGAGAGAGAGGATAGGATAATTCATAAAGAGGAATTCCACCAATTTCTCAAAATTTCTGCATCATTAAATCTTTAAAACATAAAGTCATTCAGAGTGCTTTGATGGGAAATGCTCTATTTTAGAGAAACTTAACTGAGAATTGACAGTGGTGGTGATAGAAACTAGACATCTGAAGTGTTTAATGCCGCTACAAGCTCCCTCACAGAGCGTTATTACATGTACTGGTTATGATTATGCTGCCTGATGCCAGAGATGTTGTTTTATGAAGGACATTGTAACAAAAGAGTACCCAAAAAGTACTTTTTCAGATTACTCTTTGTTTTACCATTATTAGCATCTCAGGAGACATGGGTAGGTTCAGTGGTTGTTTTTTTTGGGCATATTTCCAATTTCCTCCTCAATCTGTCCAATTCCACCCATTAGCTATGTCTCCCCTAATCACACTACACCACCAGCGCTAGGAGTCATGTGAAGCCAGGCACTGCATCCTTTCAAACTGCTGTTAACACAACATCGTTGGACAGCTGAATGCACTTGGAAGAGAACACTAACTGCCAATTCTTTTATGTCAGCTAGCCTCGAGCCCAGTGATGGGGCAGAAGGGGGCCATCCTTCCCACCCAGATAGAGCGAGACCTGTTGTGCTCTCTTGGACTCCCAGCCAGGGATGGCTGTATCATTACCAGGGCCAACACTTAGACAGTTGCACCATTCGGAAGCCCTCAGTCGTTGTTTTTGATAGTACATAATTAAAGAGTTTTTACATCAGAAAATCTGAACTGAGGTTCCTGTTTTTGTTACACTGTATGCATTTGATCCAGTCAGTTTTGGTTTCACATTGCAATTTAACGAGTGCACTAAAGATAACATACCTGCATCCTGTTGTCACCACCTACGTGGGCTGCATCTCCCTATACTCCCCAAAAAGTGTTTTCACACTGCAAACAGACCAAACCATGGTTCAGTTTGATCTAGATCAAGACCACCTCATTTGGTCAAACCAAGTTTTGGTCCTTTGGACAGGTCCGCGGTCCAAGGCACCTTTCTCACCTGCCATTTTGGTTAGGACCCAACTAAAAAGTCTGAAGGTCCGGACCGAAAGGTAGGTGTGAAAGCACCCTAAAGTAGCTATATTTGTCTTGTACACATTGCAACCCCAGGTTCCTGTCACCACCACTGTAATCTGAGTTGGTGAGTTTCTCTAGAATGGAGCATTTCACATCAAACCACTCCGAGTAACTTTATTGACATGTCGGTGATCAAATTATACAGACATTTTGAAAAACTGGTGGAATTTCCCTTTAAACATGCTGACTCGCTATGTTATTGAAGCAATCTGAAAAAAAAATACACATGGTAGGTACGTTCCTGGATTGTCCAGGTTTTTGAGTGCCTGTCCAGGAGAAAATATCATTCACAGAATGTCCAGAAATCCAAACATTTCCATATGTTAGCATTTCTTTTGAAGTTCAAACTGTTGCATATGAGTTTAATTGGTTTGACAGTGAGTTTAATTGGTTCAGATTACTCTCAATGTAGTGACAATTGTCTAGGAAAGGTATACTGCTGGTGACATGTTTAGGCACCAGGCTGCACTTCCAGGACTAAAATCTCTCAGAAAAACATTTGTAAAAATGATTTTACCTCACCTCCTCATGTAAAACTAATCCTGTCTGGTTAGAGCTTTAGACTGCATTGGAAGCAAAGCTACCCATTCCCTGAATTTAGTAAAAACAGTGTTCGAGTGTTCAGGAATTTTATAGGGCTGAGGTGGCAACCCTATATGGAGAAGATATGAAGAAATTTATGGTCAATGAATGTGATAGTTGAACATCAGTGCTAGTGGTCTAAATTCACCCACCTTAGATGCTCCAGGCAGAAGATGAAGCTTAACGTATGGGTCTGCCAGGCCATTGAAATCCATTGGCTTCAGACCCTAGAGTAAGAGGGAGGGAGTTATAGCATGGAAATATGCATCTCATAACCTCTAAAAAGAGGTTATGAGATGCATATTAATCAACTATACAGTTTTAAACTGTGCTGAGAGGAGATTAGTAGCAATATTTTACATGCGCAATTTTTACAGATTGGGACTGACATAATGCCATTGACTGTATAAACAAGGCAATATAGGCTATCTGGTTAGGGCCACTAGGGAGTTATAGCTTCTGCCTTTTTGCTGATAAGAGGTAAGAGGTTATAAGATGCTGATTAATAGACAATACATTTACTTATCATACATCAAGTATGATAAGAAGAAATCAGTAGTGATCATTTTACATGCACACTTATTCACACACAGTACAGTAGGGCTGGGCAATTAATTAACCATTTTGGCTTCCAACGACTATGAAAATAAGAGAACTGAGATAAATTGATTATTGTGATGCACTGCATTTCACAATGATGCTCTCGTTTTGTCTCATCTTATAAATCCAGCGCATCGCTTTATTTTTTGTTTGTTTGTTTTTCAGTTGAATTATAAAGATCAAGGAAGTACACAGTTAAAAAGATAAGTTTTGTTCAGCATGATGTTTTCAATGTCAGTGAGTAATGATGTTAAATAATTGCGATCTTTGTATTGACTTAAATAATTGTGATTATGATTTTTGCAATAATTGAGCAGTCCTACAATATAGGCTAGTCAAAAAAAACTATCATACCCTGTTAATTAATGTGACTTCCTAAAGTAGGGCATGTTTCTGGTTCAACATCCTTTCTCCCTGTTAGTCCTTCTTGAGGTACCAGAAAGGTTATGGGTTTCTGCACTTCAGTTGAATTTAAGATGCGGCTAATGTTTTCAATGAATCAATTTTACAAACAACGTGATTTTAAGAACCGAAATGCTAAAACAAGCTGGTGCATTCTTGGGGGGGTGGGGGGGGTTGTAATGCTTCCAGGAGAAGTCGGCATGCATTGACACTGTCACAGTTTCCCGTTGTTCCTGTGTCTTTTACTTGCTCTGTTTTGTAGCCAGGGGCGGCACGGTGGTGCAGTGGGTAGCGCTGTCGCCTCACAGCAAGAATGGCCTGGGTTCGATTCCCGGCCGGGCGACCGGGGTCATTTCTGTGTGGAGTTTGCATGTTCTCCCCGTGTCTGCATGGGTTTCCTCCGGGTACTCCGGTTTCCTCCCACAGTCCAAAGACATGCAGTCAGGCTGATCGGACGTGCTAAAATTGCCCCTAGGTGTGAGTGAGTGTGTGACTGTGTATGTCTGTCTGTCTGCCCTGCGATGGACTGGCGACCTGTCCAGGGTGTATCCTGCCTTCTGCCCAATGACAGCTGGGATAGGCTCCAGCACCCCACCGTGACCCAGAAGGATAAGTGGTTTAGATGATGTATATATGTATGTATGTTTTGTAGCCATGTGCTTGTGTTTTTGTTTTGGTTCTTGTGCTCCGCCCTTTCCCCCACCTTCCCTATTAGTATCCTCACCTGTCTGTAGTCTCTGTCTCCTCCCTCTCCCAGGTGTTCCCCATGTGTTGTAGCCTTTATCTAGCCCTTTGTTTCAGTCAGTGTTCATCTGGTCTACTTGTCACTTTGCCTGATGTAGTGGGTCTTTCCCTACCTCATGTTTTGTTTGCTCTTTGTGTTCCTTTGTTTAAGCCTTGTAGTTAGTTACTTTGTATTTTGCTGGTTTGTTTTGGTTATTAAAGTCTGCCTGCACTTATATTCAGCCTCCCTGCTCATTCTATACATGACATCAGATGACGCTGATTGGTAAAAAGAAATGTAGATCCAGGAATATATATCTAACATATCCTAACAGCAAGTGAGCATCCAAATGTAGTACATGTCGCAAATCCTTCAGAATGTCTACACTAGACATGTCAAGTCAAAATGTAAACAAACCACAAATCTGAAGAATTAAGCTGCTTTACTGACAGGGCTGTTCAGCTGCGGTTTGGGGTTATGTTTTACCACCACATTTAACAAAGGACGTTTAAATAATATAGTTAAAATAGCATTATACCACCTAGGTGTTGGGCAGCTTAGTGGTATCTGCTAAGCTACGTATACTTCAATACTCTCTACATACTTCGTGACTCTCTACATTGGTTACTGAAAGTGTCATAGAGATCCATGAGTTTCTCCTCAACCATTTTGAGGAAGGATCATGAGATATGCAACTCATAACCTACCTCTTATCAGCAAAAAAGGCAGACTCCCTAGTGGCCCTAACCGGCTATGCTAGGTTGGCTCCTTTATACAGTCAATGGCAATACGTCAGAGCATATCTGTACAAATTGTGCACGTAAAATATTGCTGCTAATCTCCTGCAACTCACAACACATTTGAATCTCAGCCACAACAGTTGCAAGCTTATCAGTTTTCATAAAACAACATAAACACTGATAACGCATCACATGATCACACCAAACAACATACTTTCAAACCATTGACTTCACCAGATCAGTGGACAAGAAAATAAAACACCTCCCCCACACCCCAGGATGACAGATGTCATTAATTCACGGCTGTTACAGTGAAATGCAGAGCAGCCAGCAGAGGCCACTTTGGGGTGTATAGGGTTAAGGACAGAAGTGGGTAATACTATGCTAACATATCATCATCAACCAAAACATATCTCCATTTTTTGTTTTTCTACAGCATTTGTCCTCTGTCCTGATGAAATCCGCCAAAACATTTAGAATAAAACTTCTTTACATTAATTTACATTAAAAGTTAAGAACATTTTCACCTTCTCCTGTAAAGTTACCATTTTGGAGATGTTTTTCTTTGAATAGCAGCTATATGCAAGACGTAAGACATTCAGCTGTAGTTCTGCTCAGTAATTAAGTAGTTTCTGTCTCACTTTTGTACCTCTGATCAATTTGTTTTTGGTAAAAGTACTTTTACTTGAGTCACTAAAGAATCACACTTAAGTTATAATAATGTGTGTTTGGGCTGCTCTGCCCACTTCTGTCCTAAGCTTAATCTTTGGAGAGGAAAATAGCTTTAAAACTTTGGCCCAGCTATCAGTTTCTCCTTACCTTAGCTCTGATGATGGTGCAGTGAAGCGAGCTGGTGGCCCTTTCATACCGGAGCTCAAACTCTAATGTCCCTAAAGCCGCTGCACCAGAATAGAGAAATGACGGTGTTAGCGCAGACATCAAGGCTACACAACTGGATTAAACTATGGCCAAATCCCTTTTGCTTTAGAACATTTGCTGCTATTCACAGCGATATGAGATTTTTTTGAGCCATAACAAGCAGAAAAGTTTCGGGCACCCCTGGGCTAAAATAAAGAGCGCTCATCAGTCATCTGTTCTTACAGAAAGATACATGCAATGCCCAGAGTAATGCAGTACATTTAAAATGAATGCTTCAACATTAATCATTGTATATACCACAGTAATCATATGACGATTGTCATGAATATAATTATGATGAGCTTTGTTGAAATCACAGGGCAACAGGCTAACATAAAACATGCTACAAATTATGCATGTGAGTAATAGTCAACAGATCCAACAGATTCAGATCTAAAATTATACCAGTGTCAAAATAAATATCAGTTATATAGCTGTCTGATTCATCCAATATAGCCACCCACAGAACACAACAACATGTAATAACACTTCTCAAAGTAACCTGGACCTCAAGCAAAGTTAAACAATTTTGGAGTGTCAAGCACTGATATTCAAAATCTGAAGGGGCATTTTTCTGCTTTTCTTTGGTATGTGTGGCCTGCATTTGGGCCTTTTTTGACCCACTGGCCAAATAGCTCTTTCAAGGATTTCAACGTGGAGTAGAATATTAATTGCTCAGCTAGCTTTGCCAATATGAGAACACCTGAATCAGTGTCACTCCAGAAAGGAAAGAGCAAAATCCGCCCCTGTAGCAGTGACTCCTGTAAGACTTCACTTCATTTCACCCTAAAATTTAACACTCAAAGTACAGGCAGCTTTTATAGGCAGGTTTTGTCAGAAATAACACATCGTTCACGCTCTGTTTCACGGTAATTTCATTCACTGCATTACTTCTCATTGATTCTGTATAAGAAGAGACATTTTAGTTAAAGCGGAATTAAAGGTGCTATTTTCTACATTTTTCTTGTTCTCTTACTACATTTGTAGTTCCAAAAAATGTTCCAAAATGAATCATAATTTTTATGGCATTATTTTATAGCAAACTTTATTTGGTTTAAATGGTTTATAAGATTCTCTTCTCTTCCATTTCTTTGCATGATGCTATCGGAATACACCTCTAAAGTTATGTGTCAGTCTGTGGTCAGCATCATGCCTATATAAGGAACTCTAAGCCTGTGCAGAAATGAAAGCCGTTTTTCACTGCTGTCACTTCCTGTTTTAAACTATAATGTTCCACACTCAATATGTTCTGTCCTGCATACAGTTTCCCCCTGAGTGTCACTTGATCTCCTTTATGAGGTCACTGAGCAGTCAAAATATGAATAATGCAACATACATTCTACAAACAAGGTAACACTCCTTCACTCTGAAATGACTGTACATGAAAGTAAGTCCATTAAACTTCAACACTGTTTTGTAACAACACCAGCTATTCTATCTGTTGGTCGCAGCTGCCAAAACAATTTGACTACCACATTTGACAAAGCTTGATGGTTTGTGTGGGGTATTTTGATGAGGTTGCTAGAGTTATGATGTCAGTTCAGTGCACAGGAATGTTAGTTTGCATGTAGCAATATTCATATTTCGACTTTTCATAAGTCAGAGGATCCGGTGATATTCAAAGAAAAAACATACATATCATAATATGTACCAGCTTTGGATCTTTTGGTTTTCCCATAGAGAGTTCCTACTATGCAAATGATGCCATATTCAGAGGTTAGTTGGAACAAAATGCCCTTAGGACCAAAAAGTTCAGAGAGTAGAGACAACCTCTGATGATCCTGTGCTCGCTGGACCCGATCATTTAATTGTTTCACTGCAGGCTACGTCATTTGCATAACGTTGAGAAATAATCCAAGTTGCCTATTGTGGTGTCACTTGTCACTAAATCACAGCAACAGTTCACCTACATCCATATGAAATGATTACTCACCTGTCGCTCTGTAGCCTGTTAATGTTATTCCTAAACTATTTTTACAAGACTAGCATATGTAAATGACCTCTGGTCTGATTGGTTGCCCTGTATAGTGCTTCATTCAAAAAGCAGTCCAAACTACAAAGTTAACAAACTGTAAAAACGTTCGAAACAAAATCCTCCAGGATGTTGAAAAAAAAACTTCAGACACGTCTATTAGATAACTGAATCCTTTGGAAGCCTGCGGTGATACATTTGCGTCCTGACAGTAAACACAATGTTTAATCATTTCCTCCACATCTTCTGCTCCAGTAACTCTGCTGCAGAGTGTCTGCAATTATGATGTGCTTAGACAGTCCTTGTCAACTTGTAATGTGAGAAAACTGTTGAAAAGTTGTTCATCTGCCAGTTGTTTGCATTTGGCGGTCACTGGAATATGTTAAATTTATACATGAACACTTTATCAATTTGCTGGGATGGACCAGTGATACCACTCACTGCAAAAAAATGTATATTGTTGGTTTCTTATAGATAGGGCTTGTCTATTCACCACAAGCAAGCTTAATGTTCCAGTTACTTACTTACATTATAATACAGAGATTAAAGTATTATTGATGGTACCTTGTTTGCCAGCTTGGTCTCCTGTGCTTTTGTGGTATTAAAGAAAATATTTACAATTCAACTTGTAAACAAGAGTAACTTGGAAGTTTCCTGTGTTTACCACTTGTTCTTATGACTTTATCAACTGTTCAAAAGCAACTACCTGGGGGTAAATGTGGAAACTGACAAGTTAACATGGTCATGAAGATTGTCAGAACAACAATTCTCATCATTTCAATGTGAAACGGTGGGCTAAAGTGACATAGGCTCAATGGTTAATCACATGCAAGTGTATTTATATTTTAACATCATAACCATGATGAATTCAAAACAGGTTGTTTTTTAAACTTAGTTTATGGACTGTATGGACCAGGGAGTTCCCATCATATTGCCCATTTAAGCTACATAGGTGGATTCTATGCTTTAATAGCTGATCATGGTATGAGGGATAGACTTACTGCAGTCATCGCTGTCGGAGCTGTGAATGTCCACCGATGTGTCCACACTACTTGCAGCAGACAGGGTCCCACCCCCTCCCCTTGCCCCTGCCTGCAGAGGGGAGAGGAGTGCACTGCTCCCCACTCCAGAGGCCCCGCCGCCAGGGCTGAGAGCCAATGGAGAGGCAGCAGGGTTTAGGGAGATGGGTTCACCTGTCGGGGAGAGGCGGGGGAAGTAGGCAGAGATTTGTCTGATTGGTCGGATTGGGCCTGGGCAGACGTCTATGGCCATGTGTTCCTGGATGGAGATGGTGAGTTTCTTTCCTTTACGCACCGTCATAGAGCTGAATAGGGGAAAGACACACAGTAAGCAGTGCTGGGAGAATGCAACAGAATGCAATTACAGGAAATGTATATTCAGAATACCAAAATAAAATATCTGTATTCAGTCCTAATTACATTTTGTAAAGGCAGTATTCAGAATACAGTTACCTTTTACATTTTAAGAAAAATACTTCTAGAATACTTACCTAGAAAATATCTATCTGTCTATGTTTCTACGCTCATTGTCCATTTTATCAGCTCCACTTATTATATAGGTGCACTTTGTAGTTCTACAATTACAGACCGTAGTCCATCTGTTTCTCTGCATACTTGGTTAGCCCTCTTTTACCCTGTTCTTCAGTGGTCAGGACCCCCACTCATAGAGGTACTATTTGGGTGGTGGATCATTCTCAGCACTGCAGTAACACTGATGTGGTGGGGGTGTTAGTGTGTGTTGAGCTGGTCTGAGTGGATCAGACACAGCAGTGCTGCTGGAGTTTTTAAACACCTCAGTGTCACTGCTGGACTGAGAATAGTCCACCAACCAAAAATATCCACCAGTCAGTGTTACTGCAGTGCTGAGAATGATCCATCACCCAAATAGTACCTGCTCTGTGAGGGTCCATGGGGGTCCTGACCAATGAAGAACAGGGTAAAAGGGGGCTAACAAAGTATGCAGAGAAACAGATGGACTACAGTCTGTAATTGTAGAACTACAAAGTGCACCTATATAGTAAGTGGAGCTGATAAAATGGACAATGAGCATAGAAACAAAGACGTGGTTATAATATATATATATATATATATATATATATATATATATATATATATATATATATGCGAAGAATGCATGTGAAGAAGACTGTAAAGAGGAACTTCAAAATTACGTCTTTACAAAAATGCCTTCTAAAGCTTGAGTAGAGTGATAACTTACTGTGATGAGCCAGTAATTATTCTAAACATTAGTAAACTCTTTTTCTCCTCAGTGGTGGTAGTGATAAGCTCAGCTTTGGTATTGTACTGGACTTGTGCTTGCATTTTGTGGCAAGTTTTCTGGCACATGTGTCAGGCTCCCATCCTCATGGGCCAAAACACTGCAGACTTCAGCACACTGCCCCATTAAACACACCTGATTCAGCTCACCAGCTAATTAGCAAGGCCTTCATGAACTGAATTCAGAGCATTAGACGAGGGTAAACACTAATCTCCGCAGCTCTTATGCCCAGATGGTTCCCCGTTTGACATGCCTGTTTTATGGCACACCATTAACTTAAAATCACACAGCTGCTCACTTTATAGTCAAATTTGCAAGAGGTTGTAATTGGGATATGGCAAATTGTTGACTTAGATCATGAAAGGGCAGTGGGATTACGGGAGCAGAAGTGGACTGAGGCGGGCAATAAGAGTCAAATTAATGTTAAAAAATTTATATTTATTTTTGTATTTCTTTGAATAATAACATTTTTTAAAACATATTATCAGAAGAATTACATGAACAAAACTGACAACAGTAACAGCAAAGAACAGTGTGAACTGAATAAAATTACAGCAGAGTTTCTTTCCCATAGACTTTATCAATATGTATTCTAAATATATTCAAAATGTATACTTTTTTATGTATTGTGATGGAATACGCTACTGAATACATTTAGGACGGTGTATTCAATATTTAGGCATCACCACATATTCAAAGTATTTTGTCCAAACCTGACAGTAAGTAAATGAAGAGGAAGCTGGAAAAGTGCAGTCTCTTTTCATGCTTATGTAAAACCGCTAGGGGCTAAAACTGCAGTTTATAACAGACTAAATGTTTATGATAAATGGGATAAAATTCAGTGGAGAATCTCCACTGGATACGTAACTTAATTCAGAATTAATCTGTCCCAGAAAGATGAATAAAGATAACCAGGTATGACGCATTGACAGTAAACAGAAAGCAGTGTTGAACTGTGTGACTATTAGTTTAGACCATAAATGTCAAAATTTGGTTGAAAACAAGGAAAAGAAACACCTTTACAAAAGAAAATCGTTTCTGCTACCGTCCCTAACACATTTTAGTAATAAGTTAGTGCTAAGCGCAGAACAATCAAGAACATTTGAAGCTTATGATAGACATTCCGTTTGACGTTTGTAACAGACATATTAACATATATTTTACCTCATAGCAGTTTTTCAGAGACTTCTTCAGTAAAGAGTCCTGACACAGAGCTGCCACTGTTTTCCATTTTTACCAACTGACTGAAATGCATTTATGAGGCTACCACTCTGTCAGTGAAATATCTAAGACTTCCAAAAAGTTGAGTGACACTTTATTTTGAGTGGTCCTTTTAAGATGAAACAAACACTCAAAGGACTCTTAGAAACATGTCAAAAACATTTGAAGGTTAGGGTTAGGTTGTAGGTTGAGGTTAAGGTTAGGGTTAGGATTAAGGCCAGGGTTAGGGTTACGTTTTGGTAAGGTTGGGTAAGGTTAGGTTTTGTGTAATGGAAGTAACATATTAACAATGCATCTACTTAATGTAAGTAATGAATCAACAGAACATCTTCAAGATATTTGCTTCAATGTACTCAGATGCTTCACCACTGCTACTCCACTGATATGTTGTTAATGTGTTACTGATACTCTGCTAAAAGTTTATTATTAATCATTTACAAAGGACCACCCCAAATAAAGTATTACCAAAAGTTGATATTTTTCTCACACAGTTGATTCCACTAATTGAAAATGAAAACATTTTCAGCATCTAATTACATGTTAATCTGTTAATATGTGTGGCTAATCTGACATATTAGGCCCTTGGATCAGATCCTGAAGTCCTAACCAATGGGAGAGCTCGCTTGGCTGTGTCTACCTAGATACTATAGAGAAAAAAATCCATTGGGTGTTTTAACAATTTAACCCTTTTGTTTCTGACCAACACTTAGCAATGAAATGAAATTATTACTATAATACTTGAAAATCATTATAGTAATAGCATAACATAAAGCATTATTATTCTACTAAATAAAAATAAACAAAAATACTGATATGTATTTTTTATTTCACATAAATCATTTGGTCTTCTCTGAAGATCTAGAAGACCCTGATGGTTCCCCATTGATGGAAAGTTCGGAACCTACTGTGTAAGCCAAGAAGCTAGTGTTTCAAAGAATAAAAATAAATAATTAGTTGGTCAAAAACAAGGACAAAATGTTGCTTTGATTTGAGTCATGCAATCCTAAGAAGCAAATATATCTTAGCCTTTCTCAGACTGATAGAAATTGATGGAAATATGTAAACACATTCACATATTGGTCTTATTAATGTGTTTCTGTGTATGCTGTTTGTCCACAGTTTCTCTCTCAGACAACCATTTTCTTTAAGATATGCCTTATTACTTTTCATGAGACAGGATGTGTATTTATGTACCACTTCCCAGGTGTGAAATGAGATGTTTGACCTGCAAAATGCAACGGTGAGACGGCACCTTACTGCCACAACACACATTTCAGTAGAAAACCTTCAACCTGTTCCACAAACCTTGACGTGAGCAGCATGCCAAAGCAGGCGACCAACCTTGCTGTAATTAAGGTTCACCAGCTCGAGCTAATCTTTTTGTTTTGCACCTTCTCTGCAACCTCAGAAAAATAGCTGAACTTACTGTGATGTATCACCTTTAGGAGTTAGTGAGCCAGAACAAAGCAGAAAGGAGGCATGGATATGGAGAGAGACATAAGAGAGAGAGTGCAAGCGTTTGACTTAATCCTAAACATCCTCAACAAGTCTTGTTTCCAGGGGACCAACCACAAGAAAAAGTGATGTTGCCTGGAGGATTTAACTCCCCATTTAAGGCCTAATTCAGCAAAATGAGTAATGAGCATAAATCTGAAGTCTACATGTTCTTAAAGGGCCCAAATCCTTCTTTTTTATAATTTTTCCAAAGACGCATTTATGATATTTGTGTGGTATAGAGTGTTTTTGTTATTGAGCTTTTCAGACTGTTAGCTGCTAGGCTAACAGTGGTAACAAACACTGGAAATCAATAGTCACCCAAACTATTTGTATGCCCAAAACTTCTCTTAAACTGCATCCAGGTCTTAATTTAGGTCGTGCAGACAAGTCAATGTGCTTTCGAACCAATTATGACTCACTAAAAAATTCTCTGTATAGCTAAAGGAAAGGGCAGCTACTGAAGATAACCAAAATCACTTCCTTCCTGAGCACCTGGTATCATTCCATGCAAGACAACCAAAGATGGGGCTCTTCACAACACAAGCATAGGTAGAGAAGCTAAGCGAATGTACTCAGAAAATCAATACAATGTTCGATTAGGTATTTGGGGTCCACGTTTTTTGCACAAATGAGCTTCGACCTTATATGTTTGAACCTGAAGAAATGTGTCAGTTGGATGCTGGACCCACTGGTGACTCCACGTACACACCTCTTACCTATAAGGCATGACAGTAAGTGAGCACAATAAAGACATAGAAAAAGTAAAAAATGCTTACCTTGGATTTACTTCTTTGAAATATCATCCTTGGCACATATTTTAGAATATCATACTTGAGACCATCATTATAATCATCAGGTGAAAAATAATCACCACATGCATGGATTTTGCCGAGTGTCTCTCTAGTTTGTCATTCATTGCCTAATATCTTAGTTTGCATGTGTCTTCAGTAGGAGATTGGTAGTAATGTACCAGACGACGTGTGGATTTCTTTGTTCATTGTTTTTGCAAAACTGAACACCTAATTTTCGTAGGGTTATCGTTATTCCATATGCACCTTCTAACTCTTGCAGTAAGCAAGCCTAAAGTATTTACTGTGCTAGCATGATTACCTGTGTAGTGACATTGTACAATGCACTCCTGCACTCCAGCCTCTCAGAGTTTTAAGGCAAAACAGTACTTTAAAGCAAGATGTTATGTGGATGATAACGCAGTTCTAATTTTACCTTAAATGAGGTAAATAAGGTCTCTTATACCACTTTACTAAACGATTCTAGTTAAAGGGCAGTTCTGTAGTTTATCGACA